AATTTATGAAGTGATTCCCCCTGATTACTCTAGTACCGACCTGGCACTATACATAGTTATTACAATATTATTAACTATATTCTCCATGCTGTACTTTACATCCCTGTGACTGTTTTGAAACTTGTAGCCAATAATCTTAAGGAATTTTTGTTTTCATGCCTCCATTAATTCTTTGGGGTTTTTTAAGCTTAGAAATTCAGATAAAAGCTTGTTTTATTTAATTATGAGAAATTATCATATTTCAATATTATTTTAAATATTAGATTAATTCTGTGAATTCAGAAATTTTAAAAGAATAATTATGCCTATGAACAAGGAGGTGGATTATTTGACTGCTAAAGATTACTTAAAATTCTGTGATCTCATGAATCTATGTGTTTTTACTTTATTTCTGGATATATTTTCATACTCCTGGCTCCCAGTGACTTCAGATATAGACTATATTGGAATTTCGTTAAAGACAATGGAAGATTAAATAAGTATTTTTATTAATGGAGAAAACCAGTAATCAAGATATGTAGCTAAATATATCACTTAACAGTTTAAATTTTGTATCATTATTTAGAGTTGCTCAAATTTGAAATTTGTTAAGTGGTAAATTTTTAGGCTACTAAATTATATACTTGCATTTTTTAACAATGTTTATGTATGTTGGAGAAGCAACCTATAACTTTATTTTTCATTTAAATGTGTAAGAAAGTGCTAAATTTTAAAGCAAATGTACTCTATAAGTTTTTTTTATATATATAATTTTGGATATGTGCTTACCTATAGAAAGTATGTTATAAATGAAATTTCTCAGGCTAACTCAGAAAAAAGTTTAAACAATTTAAATAATGAGTTTAGGAAGTAGTGCTGTTATTACTATTTTATCTATAACTAATGCCCCCTTTAACTTTATTTTTGTCAGATTTTCTGAGTTTTAACATTAATTGTAGAATCTCCATTTTCTGTAAAAACTTTGCGGACTTCATAGTGTGGCAAGGCTGGAGTAAGACGTAGATACTGATATTTGTGAATAACTTTCATACTTATGTAAGAGAACACCCTTTCTTTATACCATTATTTTTTAAACTATGTTCAGCAGAACGCAAAAATTCTTCAGGGGTGCCTCAGCCTTGCTTTTCAGAAGAAAAGCTGTTTTTGTTTGTTTGTTTGTTTCATATGTTGGTATTTGTCTAAGAGTTCATCCATTTAATTATTAGCTTGGTGATGAAGAGCTCAGGCTCTCAAATAAGACTTTATACATTCATATATCTGCTCTATCATGACTGAGTTTGGAACCTTGAGTAAGTTACTCCACCTCTCTGTTCTTTGGTTCCCTCATCTGTAAAATGGAGATAATAATAGTATCTACTTTATAAGGTCTTTGTGAGAATTAAATGAGACAATACATGTACATTATCTAGTATTGCAATTAGTGTATGAAACGTTGCATGTAAGTGGCTATGTCTGTAGTAGAACTGACGACTGTCTGATGCCAAAGCTGGACTCCTATCACTATTAGATCATGTTGTTGAACTAAACTGAGAGAATGAAAGGAGTGAAGTGAAATGAGAGATTGGGTCTAGAAGAACAGATTTAGTGCCTTTCTTTCAAAGGGCAGCTCATAAGCTCAGATAATGAGTTTTACTTATTAAAGATCATAAAAGAAAGGCTGTTACAGAAAGAAGGGTTTTTATATGTATCTTCCAATGATAAGACTTCAGGATACTGCTTTAAAAAGTTTATTTCACTTCTGAACTAGGTTGTTTCAGAAAGCCTGGAAAATAGATTTTCCCGGAAACCTTTAAAGAAGCTGATCAAGTGATTAGAAAGTCTGTGACCCTTATTACGTGAGAAGCACAATCAATAGTTTTATGTTGTAATGAAACTTGGCTTAAAATAGCCTGAGTACAGATAACAAGTAATCACCATCAAATTACAAAAGTACAGTGTTTGTGTTGGGAGGGTATGAGTTAAAATTTTAATTTCAAGGTCTTTTTTAGCTTTATTTTGCTTGACAAAAAGAATTAACTAATTTATTTTACAGTAAATTATTTTAAAACATGTTACGCAAACATAAGCCATGGCATATTATTTCCTGAATATTTATTTGTTAGCTCTAAAAGCTGTTACCACTGAACATGCTGTCACCCTAACTTTTAATGACACAAATTGCTTGTGGTTACAAAAATAGCTAAAGGCATATCTAGGAAGGAGACATTTGAAAAATTCCTTTTTGAAGCCATCTGAACAGTGATCATAGTCATCAAACTGTTATCTGGTATTCTTATATATTAAATATGTATTTAAGATTTAATGGAAGAGAAGAAAGGGGAAGGCATTATAAACACAAAATAATTTCCAGGAATTCAAATTTTAGTCAATTCAGAGAATCAATGGAAAAGATCTGAAGCTGTCTAGAAAGAAGACATGGGAAAGTTGGCTGTTTCTAAAATGGAAGTTATATTATAAGCTTACAATCTATAACAGTAGAATTCTAAATTAACCAGTGATTTTCTTCTTTCTAAAGAAGTTACATTAAGAACATTTGAAAAACTTATACCCATAGAGAATTAGTTTCCCAAAAGCTTGAAATTATTGTGCATTCTTTGAGTTAGCATGGCTTCCAAAATTTAGAAATTAATATTATATATAATATAATAATTATATAATGTATTATATATAATGAATTAATAAATAACAATATACATGCTATATATAATCTTAGGATTGATTGCTAAAAGATGGGTTCTAACACCCAGAGGTCCAGCTGTTTGACTTTTATAGGTGAGGAAGAACTGAGAAATGAAATGACTTGACTGAGATTGATTGTTGTCAGGTTTGATATAATAATCTTGGTCTTCCAGTAGCTCCTCTTTCTATGTACCATGCTACCATGCTTTCATCATATGTTAATTTTTTCCTTTATTAGAATAATTAATTTTGCCTGGGATTGTTTTGAACTTTTATTCAGGAAGGCAAGGCAGTTTCTTAGAAATTATTTGTTTTGATGCCTGTGACTTCTCAAAAAGATGAATCAACAGTGTTTCTTTTTGCACTTGCTCATTTACTCATTGAATCAAGTGTGTGTTGAAGGTGAAATAGCACATATACATAAAAAGAACTGTGACGTCACATTAACATGCTCTAATAATGTATATATTAATATGACAGATTTTGTATACTGTTGGATTCTTGGAGAGATTATTTGTGTAGGCTATTCTGAAGTCTTGTAACATGATAAATTACAAGTTCTGAGTTTTCACAATAAGAAATAAAACTCTGTCCTCGAATAAGAAACTTATTTTAAGAATCAATTTTATTCCAATAAACAAAATTCACTGTGAATTTGCATGTTTTCCAAAGATTTTGTTGTAATCAGATATCTATTATAAATTCCTCCAGTGATGACTTGGAATCGAGTATTGAAGCAGTAGTTGGCTGTACTCTTTTCTCCTAGTTCACCTGACGAAATATCAAAACTATTGCTAATTACAGTTGATCAACATTATGAATTATTCTTACAGTTATTTAATCATAGGCTTTCTTTTATCATTATACATGTCTCTCAGCCATTTTTTTCATCTCTTTACCTCCCTGCATTTAGTTTCCATCTTTTCCATTGATAGAAATGCAGAGTAATTTTAATATGATCACATCTAAAACGTTATTAGTCAAATATGCTTTAAAGGATGTATTCCAAAATCAAATGCATTCTGTAGTGAATCTTTAATGTGCCCACTTTGTTACCTTCCTTCCTTTTCTCTCTCCCTCATCCCTGGTCTCCTATTCTCTCTTCCTTTTCTCCCTCCTCCTCTCCTCTCTTCCTTTTCTCCCTCCTCCTCTCCTCTCTTCCTTTTCTGAGGAAAGAAAGGATAAAAGTTGTAGAGAATTTTCTGAACAAAAAGCAGAGTAGAAGAACCATATTTCTCATCATGGAGGTACTGCATGAGAAACATTGGAGGAAAGAGATTGAGTGAGGAACAAGATTCCACGGATGAGAAAGCTTTGATGGTATAAAGGAGTGAGAGAGTTATAGGACTTTAAAGATGCTAGAAATTAAGAGAAGGACACCTGATTTTAATAAGTTGCTGTTTGTTAAGACTTAGACACTACTACCTTCAATCCCTATGCTCACATATTATGTGAGTAAAAACCTGAAATACTCATTTACCCACACATGTTTAAATGTGATTCTGATCAGAGTGTGGGCTAGGGATAAGACTATGAGTGTAAGATTACTTGAATCTCGTTTAATTAAAATAGGAATCAAAAGGCCAATTAGTTGACATTTGATATTTTATTGCCTTTTTCATGTCTGACTATCATTAGGTTTCAACTAAAATATTATCTTCATGATAAAAGTATATATAATATGCTTTTTATCTAAAAAGAGAGGACACATATATACATATGCGCCTGTATTTGTATGTGTGTCTGTGTGTTTATACACACTCACACTGAGACTGACATACAGCTATCAGTTTATATTAAGAAATAATGGAGGAATAAACCACAAAATAAAAAATCCTAATTGTCAGTTCTCCAAAGCGATTAAATTATTTCACTTCCTCTGCAATGTATGAGAGTTTCATTTGCTCCATGTCTTCCTTATTTGGATGGTGTTAGTCTTTTTTATTTTAACTGTTCTGGTGAGTATGGAATGTTGTGATTTTAATTTGTATTAAACCGTGTTGAGCACTTTTACACCTATCTTTTTGCCATTCTTTTCTTTGTGAAGTTAGAGTCTATTTACTTTTTCACTCACCGAGAGGGGCTTGTTATTTTTGATTTGTAAGAATTTATATATATTTTGGATATATTTTCTTTGTCAGATATATGTGAAAATATCCTCTTCTAGTTAACAATACTGTCAAAAGGATATGTATAGAAGATATTGATACATTTACTAAACTGGTAATTTCGGAAGGAAATTAAAGTAATATTTAAAAGAGACTTTACAGTTTTAAATTTAAAGCAAAAATTACATTCTATTATTCCATTTTTGGTTTCAGGTACAGTTAAAAACTAGCATTTCTAGTCAGTATGTAATTCGAACGCAGCCAACTAATAGGTGCCTTTCTACACTGGAGTGTGCAGCTGTTGCTCTTTCCATCTTGGAGAAAAATAGTGACATACAAGAGGTATGTATGTTTTTAGAACATTATGTAGTTTTCGAAAGTAGGAGTCTGGTTAGATTTTATCTAGAAAATTTAGAAATGTATATATAGCTGGTTAAATTTGTAGTTCAAGTGACAAGGAGAATGGTATCTATGATAGAAATTTGTATACTTTTATAACCAACCTTTCCCTCTCTGGTGCTTTTTTCTCTGTTTAGCATTCCAGATTGCATTATTTAAATATTCTAACCTGTCAAACAGCATTTGTAATATGCTAAATTGCTTTTAAGTATCACAACATTAAATAGTTTTTTAGGGGGCTAGATTTTTCTTTTAGTATTTTGTATTTTTAGTATTTTGTGTTCTTTTTACTTAAATTTGCCTTTTTAATTAAAAGAATATTTTACAGCAACCTTATTTTTGCACGGACTCTTTTATTTGAGGAAGTATACCAACTTCCTGTTTATCTTATTAACCATATTTAGAGTTAAAAAAAGATATAATTTTTTGAGAAAACACCTGCAGAATATGAAAAGGTTATAACCTACAATCATCATTTTATTTAATTTCAATGAAAGCCTGATGATTTCATATATAATTAATAATCGTCAGTAAACAATAATGGTTCAGTGTGCTCATTAACATCTCAATCTTTTGGAACATGTAAGAAACTTTACATTTATGGCAAAAGAAAAAATAGCAAAATAAAACTTAAGTTATTAGTGTGTTTTAATCACTGAAAAATTTTCATAAATACAACTCAAGAAGTCAGAGGATAACGAACATAACTAAATGAAGTTTATAACTCCTTCCTCTCTTCCTCCCTTCCCTACTTTCCCTCTCTCTCTCTTTCTCTAGTTACAGACTATGGTTACTATTTTAAGAGTGTGCCTTAGCCATGAAGGAAATTTCTCTAATGGATAAAAGCTCAGGCCAGAGTAACTGGACTGGTTACCAAGGAAAAAAAAAAAAAAAAGCCTCCAGAGCAAGGAGAGTTAAAGAATAACAGAAGCAAGCACTGAATTGGCTTTTCCTCCCCGCCCCTGCCCTAAGCCATGGAAAATGTCAGAGTTGGAGACATTTCTTCTTTTGATGAAAGAAGTAGTATTTCATGAATAGGCTTCTGTGTGTGTATTTGTGCCCGTGTGAGTAGACTTTGTTTTGGATCCAGGCAATTTCTTTTTCTCTGTTCTCTTTTGAGGAAAAAAAAATCATGAGGGATCCCAGATCCTTACCCCAAATGCCCAGGGAGTGTTCTCAGACTTTTCTCCCTTCCCTCTAACCTTATTGCCTATTTCCATGCACCTGGCCATCAATATAACACTTAATATATTTCTGTACTTGTCTTTCTATTTTATTTATTCACCATAATTTCTGTATTTTCTTGAGCAAAACAACAGCAACAAAACTACACTATTTTTAAGTGTCTTAAATATGAAATCCAGTAGTATTGTTTAAACTTGCTTTCTGTACAGTCTCTGTATTTTCCTTTTCGGTGATGTACAACTATAGGATCAGCCAACATCAGACCTAGGACTCATTAAAAGTTCTAACCTTTAGGGAAAAATGTAATATTCATGGACTACACATTTAAAACTTTCTTTCCTCCCTTTTTTTTTTGGGAGGGGGGTGATTCTGAAAAGGATCTTCTTTGGCTTGTAACCTTTATTCTCAAAATTTAAAATTCAATTTTAATTTTAATTGAATTTTTACCACAATCCTAAATGGAAGCTTTAATGGTGGTGGTGGTGGTGGTGGTGGTGGTGGTGGTGGTGGTTTAATAATAATTGTAATATAATAGGGCTAAGGTTTGGGATAGGGTTTGTACTACTACTACTAATACTGCTACTAATGCTCCCCCTTTCCCAGTTTTATAAGATATATTATTCTGGAAATAAATAATTAATATACCATCATAGCAGGAAACCTGTCTTATGTTCTGAGTATAATATCTTACAACAGGCAAGGTTTAAGATATAGAATGGTAACAGGACCCTTTATCTCTTCAGCTTATATTGTCTGTGGATCAAATTCAACATAAAGTCCCAAAGTAATAGTGAGGCTCTAGATCTCTCATTCTTTCTTTTTGTCACCAGGAGTAGTCATACTATAGTCGCCAGGAGTTGGAAAAGGATGTTTGACAATCAGACATGTGATTTGGGAGGTGCCGATAAGATGGTTGGCAGGAGCATGAGCAGAAGAAATGCATAATGAAATATTCCAAGTTGCTTATTGCTACAGATGGCAAAAGTTTAGCTTGCTTAATGGGGGAACCCCCGTCTAGCCTATTCAAATCTAGCTATAAAAACAAATAATTAGTACGTTCCTATGAGAAACACAATTACTGTCTGCTCTGAACATGTTTTTTTTCACTTTCCTGGGGAGGAAAGCTATGACATAACATTTTCTTTTCTCCCAATAACAATTTATTAGTGGCATCCTCATAAAACAAGATAATGCAGGAGAGTAGTAATTTTTTTGCTGGCTTTGTTCTACAGAGGTAGGGCTCCTTAAAATAAAGAACTTGGCATAGAATAGCTCTCTGACTGTTGATTCATCCTCATCCTTTATTCTTGAGCAGTTTTCAAATACTTGGAAGTAGCAAAATATGAGCTTTGAAGCAGGTTTGAGTAAAAACTTCACTTATCCTCACTTTTGGTAAGAGTGACAAAATTTTGAACTAAAAGTTGGTGATTTTCATGCAGCTACAATAATATTTACCAGGGCTTTTCATACCTTGGAAGGCTCGAACTTGGGAATCTTTTTTATTATAGAACATTCTCTACTTCTGAAGTTTTACCTTACGAACTTTTATAATTGGTGTGGCAAAGCTTTGTGCCATAGCCTCAGTGCCTTAGCTCTACTTAACACCAGTAATTAATAATAATGGTCCCTTGAAAACTGTCACTTTGTACCTACAGACAAAAGGGATTTATGAAACACTGATTTTTCCCCAAATAAACTTTTAGAAACGAACTTATTTTATAAGTAGAGGATGTTCTCTGTTCCTCTGAACCAGTCCATTTCTCATATAGCTTCGCATTGCCTCAGATATAATGTAATTCATTTATATAGAAATGTTATCATTTATTATCAAGTAGTGTTCCAACACTTTAAATGCATCATCTTAATGTACCATAATAATAACCTTGTAAGGTTGACATTGTTTTCCTCCTTTTACACATGAAGAAAATGAGGCAAAGAGTGGTTATATAACTTATCTGGGAACATAGAGCTAGTAAGTGATTGCATCAGTAAAGATAGGCCAGGTTAGACCAGTAACTTAAAACTCCAAAATCAGAATGGCATAACACAAGAAAGGTTTGTGCCTCTCTCATTCTGTTTGTCCAGTGGGATTGCCAGGGGAATTTCTGCTCAGTCACCTAGGGACCCAGGATGAAGGAAGAGACACTGTCTAGATATGTCATTCTACTTTATTCAGGGAAGGAATAAGGGGAGTTGGTGAATCATATACTGCTTTTAAAGCTTCTGCCCAGGGGTGACACACATCATTCATGTTCACAGTTCGTTAACCAAAGAAACATATATAGCCATACCTAACTTCAAACAGGACTAGAAAATGAGTCTGATCATGTACCAAGGAGGCAGACATGTATATTTGTGAATAGCCCTAGCGACTGCCACAGAGATGGAATGGGGATCTAATCCATTTCTATCTCCAAAATTCATTCTCTTAATTACCTCAGAAAACTGATAGATTCTCATCTTCAGGAGGTACAAGTTAGAGGCTTATTATTAGTATTAGTATTCTCCTGCCTATGAAGAATTTAATAAATGTCATAAAGTAGCAATAGAAACTTCAGTTGTCTCAGTCTGTATGTAATCCTAGATGTTTCCTAGGTATAATGTTTAAGAATCCAGTCAGTACACTGTATTGATTCTGTGAAGTAATATGTAGTCATTTCCATATTTCCTCTCGTTTAAAGAAATGAAGATATTAAAAGAAATTATGAGAACATACCTAAGGGGCTTTCTACAATAATGTCAAGTAGAGCTTTTCGAAGATGTTTATCTTGTTGGTGAATATCAGTTAGGAATGACATTTGGTTGCATGTAACAAAGCACTTACTGCAGTGGTTGAATCAGGAAGGAGTTTCTTTTTCTCTTGTAAATAAGAAATACTGAGGTGAGCAGTCTAGGCCTGGGATGCAGCCTAAAAAGGACATTGGAGACCCAGATTTTTCCTGTCTTTCTCTTCATCATCATGTGTATTTGGTTTTAATCTTCATGTTTATTGCCCTATAGTCACATTATGGTTATTCTACCTTTAACAATTATGTTTCAGGCAAGAAGAAAGAGCAATAGCCTATGGTTGCTAAGTCTGTTCCATTTTGAAGAGCATCCCTGGAAGCCCCACCCAAAGACTTCCACTTCTATCTCATTGGATAGACTTATGTCATTCATTAGTCAGTGTAATATTACTAGCTGGACACATTGCCACCTTGAATAAAATTTTGGATTTTTTTTTAATAAGGAGGAAAAGAATGGATACAAAGAAGCAGCTATCAGTGGCTGCTACAGTTTGTAAAAGTTCATTGTAAATTAAAGCTATTAAGCCCTTCCTATCATTTATGTTGCATATGTGGGGGAATAACTTTTTACATAGTGTAAAATTTTTGTTGTTAAATCTATTAGGTTTTGTTTGTTTGTTTCTTTTTGTTTCTTTTTTTTTTCCTTTAATAATCTCAATCAAATTATTGCTATTGTTTTTTAAAAGGTTTAAATCAGGGGTCTTAGGCCCAAGGAAAGAATTGACTAAAAATGTGTTTAAAACACTAGTATAGTGTTTTTATTTCAAAAATCATTAAAATTTTAATAACATTAGGAAAGGCATATGCTCTAGTTGTTTTATAACCTCTAGCATTCTCTGTTATCTTATGTGTCCACCCAGTTCACATGTTTATGTTAAATGGCTGAGCTTATAAATAGTTGAATTTACACAGGTACATATTCAGTTAGAACTATTTCATATGTACCAAAACCTGGGTATCTGACTTGTATGAGGTCCATAGGCTAATGTGGATTAGTAACCCACTTACCTATTACTGCTATTTATCTGATCGTTATCAGATAGCAGGAAGCTTACATCAGTCTGTGATTGAAACTGAATTAACTAATCTTTATCTAATGGTCTCTTATAGTCCGCTCATTACAGATTAAATTATTACAAGGGCAACAACTTTTTGTGGTGTTTGAATATATAAAACTAAATTCAGACTTTATCACTCATATGGAAAATTGATTTGTGTCTTTTTACTGGAGTTACTTAGTGGTGTGTAAGGTATGAATTTAAATAAATTATTTATTTAGAAATTTTCACATGTATTAAGGTACACATTGCTTTTCATTGTTAAAAGCCAATAATAATATGATAATAATTCTTGTTTCTGAAGAAAAATTCTAGATAGATTATCATGACTTGTCACAGACTCCTTTTTTAGTTTTTTTTTTTTTTTTATTTCAACAGACATTGCTTCGCCCTCTTCAAGCTTTATGCTCTTTCCAGCTTCAACATGGTGCTCAAATTCGCCACAGCAAGGAACACCTTCTGAAAAATGGATTATATCCTAAGCCGATGCCAAAGAACAAACGCAAACTTAGGAAAATGGAACTCTTAATGAACAGCGTTAAAATTTAGTGCACATGTTCTTATGGTGCTATTTATGGTGTCTTCAGCTGACAATACCAGGTTAAGTTTTAATACAATTTAAATTTGTGGGTTTTTTGACTGCTAAAAAAATGAGAGTTGCATACTAAAGTTGCCCCGAGGAAGGATATAAATCAAATAGCCATAAAAACAAACAAAAAACATTACACTGAATCAGTAAAAAGCAAGATTTTATAATGTATTTATTTTTAAAATGTGCCTCTAATATATTTTTTCCAATTCATAATTTGAAATGTGGTTAGCTCTTGAGTCGGTTTAGAAGTTCTTTTTCATAAAATGGAAGGAAATTGTTGTGCCTGATTGATTCAGTATTGTTTCTTTTAATGTTTTATAGATAATTAGGTGTAGACCTATAATAGAGGATACCTACACCAATTTGCAATAGTGTACATGAACTTTATAGTTTGAAATAAGTAACAAAATAAAATAATGATAATCAGGTGGTTTAAATTGAATTTATTTCATAAAATAGTGTAATAGAATAAGGAAACTAAGTATTCTTTAGAGACTAAACTTGAACTCAGCTAATGTGATTAAATGTATATTAATGCCCCTATTTTTTTAATTAGGTAGTAGAGTTTACTGATAATTAGGTTAATCATCTAATTTATTATATAAATGAAGTTACTTTTATCTATTGGATGGCATACCAGAAAATAGTAATGTGATACAGTTATGTGCAAGCTGGAATACATAGTCACCCTATCGATGAGCGACTGTGAATTTTAAAAGATAATGTGGAAGGATTTGTCCAATTTATGTATATGTTTTCCACAACACCGAGCAGTTAACTCAATTCTCCTTTGACACTGTGACTTGGTGTGTCACAAATCTAACTGAATTCTGATACTCCCTGGAGATAGGGTCAGATCTTACAGGTTCAGGGCCCAGTCCTATCAGACTCTACCCTATTCCCCTTCAGATGCTAGATTTAAGTTTAGGGTGTCACAGCTGGCTATAGATTGGAAGTTCCAATGACTTACCCTCCCCCACCTTGGGTTTGATTAATATGCTAGAGTGATTCACAGAACTCAGAGAAACATTTTACTTACTAGGTTACTGGTGTATTATAAAAGGATATAACTCGGTAACAGCCAGATAGAAGAGATGCATAGTGCAAGATATGTGGGAAGGAGCTTGGAGCTTCCATGCTGTTTGAGTGCACCACTCTTCGTGAATCTCCCTGTGTTCACCAGCCTGCAATCTCTCTTCGAGCCATGTCCTTTTGGATTTTTATGGAGGCTTTATTACATAGGTATGATTGGTTAAATCAGTGCCATTTGCTATTGATTTCAGCCTCAAGCCCTTCTTCTCCCCTTGGTCTTTGCCTTTCTAGCTCATTTCACTTAGCATAATGCCCAGTTCATCCCTGTTGTTGCAAATAGCAGGAATTCCTTCTTTTTATGACCGAATAATATTCCATTATATGTATCTATATCTCTCTCTACATAGATCAGTCTGTCATCTATCTATCTATCTATCTATCTATCTATCTATCTATCTATCTATCTATCTATCTCTCTCTCACATTTTCTTTATTCATCCATTAAAGGACATTTAGATTGTTTTCTTGGTTATTGTAAATAATGCTGCAATAGCATGGGGGTGTGTGTGTATAGAAAGTTATAATCCTCCAATCACATGGTTGGTTCTTCTGGTAACAGCCGCCATCATGAGGTGCTTTCCAAAAGTCACTTTTATAACATAAACTCAGGTGTGGTTGAAAGGGGTTTGTATGAATATTAAGATACCTTTATTATTCTTATCACTTAGGAAATTTCAAAGGTTTATGTATATTTCTTGTTAAAAGACACAAAATCACAATTGTAAGGATTGGAAGAGTAGGAAATGAGATGTATTAAGGAAGCCTAGTATGAGTCTATATGATGATAGATAATCTGGGAGGTCTGCATTTCTGTTTGCACTGAGATGTATAGACATGAAGTTATGATGGGATCCATCCTTAGGTCAGAACATGCAGTAAATCTTTAAATCCTGAGGGTGATTTTTTCTAACTTTATAGAGGAATAATTAACAAATATAATCATGTATTTAAAGTATACAGTGTGATGATTTGATAGACATACACGTTGTAGAATGATTACCAGGATCAAGATAATTAACATATCCATCATCTCAAATAGTTGATATAGATAACTCTGTGTATGTGTGTGTGTGTGTGTGTGATGAGAATGCTTAAGATCTAATGTAATGATTTGATATTTGTATATTTTGCTAAATGATCACCACAATAAATCTAGTTAACATCCATCACCATACATAATTATAAATTATTTTTTCTTGTGATTAAAACTTTTAAGATTTACTCTTAATAACTTTCAAATATATGATACAGTATTAATTATAGTCATAATGTTATGCATTAGAACCTCAGAACTTATTCTTTTTATAATTGGAAGTTTGTGCCCTTTGATCTACATCACTCTGTTTCTCCGAACCCCCAGTCCCTGGTAACCACCGTTCTATTCTGTTTCTTTGAACTTGGCTTTTTATTTTTTTCAGATTTCACATATAAATGATACCATATAGTATTTGTCTTTGTTTTTCTGGTTTATTCTACTTAGCGTAATGCCCTTCAGAGGCATCCATGTTGTTGCAAATGTCAGGATTTCCTTTTTCTTTATTCACATTTTCTTTATTCAGTTCATTGAAGGAATTTTAGTTTTTTTTTCCATATCTTAGCTATTGTGAATAATACTGCAATTAACATGGGGATGGAGATATCTCTTCTAGATGGTGATTTCCATTTCTTCAAATATATACACGAGAATGGAATTGCTGCATAATACGGTAGTTCAATTTTTAATTTTTTGACGAACTGCCATACTGCTTCTCCTAATGGTGGACCATTTTACAACTTTACCTATAGTGTATAAAGGTTTCCTCTTTTCAGCATACTTGGCTATACTTATTATCTCTTGTCTTCTTGATGATAGCCATTCTTACAGGTGTGAAGTGGTAGCTCCTGGTTTTGATTTGCATTTCCCTGATGATTAGTGATGATTAGTGAAGCCTGACCTAACTGCATGCATTTTATAAGAAGCACCAGGCAGTTTAAATACAAAGACAAGGTTAAAAGTAAAAGAATGGAAAAAGATATGCCATACAGACCTTGACTTTCTTCATTTTCAAATTTATCTTATTTATCATTAAACAAATATATGTTTAACACCTAGTAGGTTGCCAGGCACTATTTTAAGTATGTAAAAAAAATCTAGCTATTTTGATTTTCCAATATTTTGGATTCTAGGTAGGAAAATCTGATAGTGTTAGGACATTTTCAAATAAATGCTTGTTCCTAAAAAATCTTGTTCCTAAAAGAAAAAGCCAATTATACAACTTGACTGTCCAATTAATTATGTTTTTGTAGTTATAAAAGTCTACTAGAAAAAAAGAGAATACTTTAAATCACAGTAGTAGGCATCACTAGTCTTTAGTAAATTCTTTAATCCTGTCTGGATCTTTATAAGGAAGGATACAGCAACAGTAATATTTTATATGTACTTGTTCGATTAAAATATTTGTTTCAATCCTTGTGATCTAGTAATTAATTCCTTAATTTATCACTTTAGAAATCATGTCACATGCACTTCCTTTTGAATGGAGAATGGAATGATTTTTCCTCTTGAGCCCAGGATGTGGCTCTCAACATGTGGTGAATCCCTGTCAAAAATGAATAAAAGCTTTATTAGATGTTTCTTATAAAGAAAATTAATTTTCTTTTCTTAACGTACTTCACTTTATTATCATCAGAATATAATTTAGAAAAAGGATTGTAATATATGTTGACAGGGCCTTCCTGTAGAGAGGTTGTTCCAGTTAACTTGCTGATTTCTACAGGAAAATGTCTTGCCTAGTACATAATTCAAGTAAGATAGTGGCAAGGGATTGGGCTGACCAGTGATTTCAGTGAAGAAATCTTGTTGGAACCCAAATACTCTATGTAAAATGTATGATATTCTTAATGCTCATAGTTAATATTTAATAAACCCAGTCCTGAAGGATAGTCTTTGAAATGCAAGTTCAGCTACCTGACTGGCATTTCTGTATGCTACAATTAGAGCTGTCAAAACAATCTCTTTTAAAATAGAACCAGAAGGAGCTTGAGTGCTTGTTGTCTGTAGTTATACCAGCATTACTTGATGTGAATACAGAATTTCCCTAAAAGGTGAGGGGAAAAAATAATTTCTGGTTATAAGTACAGCACTATATATAATATACACCAAAAAAAGCGACATGTTTTTCAAGGCTAATTATGAGATTTTAAAAAAAATATTTAGATATTAATGAATAAGCAGGCTTAGCCAAAAATATAAATGAAGAAACATGTAGATAAACATCTCTGAAATTAATTTATGGAATAAAGAGGCCTTAAATACATTCTTCTTATATGGAAAATAAAATAGGGTGATGTGTGAAGAATCTTAAGATAATTGTTCATTAATGGACATCATACATTTGGCCAAACTGCTTTTAATTTTTTATTTTAGGACTGCATAGAGTAAGCGAAGTAAGGTAAGAAATGTCTTGTAGATCTCTAAATTCCTCTTTCTGCAAAACATTTTCTCAAATGATCAACATCTGAAATGTGAGTTGCCTAATTCACAAATAAAATTTTCATGCATTGCTAGGATCCCACCAATCAACCATGTAAAATTGTAGTATTTTACAAGATATAGTTCTTGCATCAACTTCTTGCTCCTCCTTTAACTTATTTGCTTATAAAAATAATTCAGAAAATTCTTTCTCTCTCTCAGTTTTTAGAGTAAGTGACTTAGCCTGATTTCGTTATAAGCCAGATCCTGTTTGCCAGATTTAAAAATTCTGAGAGAAATTCTGTAACAGATTTTGTGGCAGCATCTCAAACACGTCAATTGTAGATCTTCCCATTCTTTTTAATTAGGGAAATAATGACAAAATCTATATCATAATACCAAGTATTCTGCTTTCAAACTAACTTACTCAGAAGTCAGAAAGAGCAGAGAAGCGTTTGTCCTTGCAGTATGTGGAATTTTAAAATGTGTGTGCTGCCTTTTGAAGGAAAGGCTAAATATTGTTTAAGGATTTTATTCTTAAAGCCTTTCTGTTCAATCACCAATTACTCCCCCTCGACTTTGTATTGTGACTATCTCCAGCTGAGTGCAGAAGATGGATCAGCTAATGGTTAGTCATTGCTTTAGAGTGAAGAAGAGGTCAACCCCACCTGAGGAAACTGTTAGAGAGTGAAACTCTCAGAACTAGCAGAGAGGAGCCCTTCCTGGGACTTGATTACATTAACAGTTATAGCACCAAAGAAAACCCTGTTGGAGCCTCCAGCAGGCTGACTCATGCTGATCCTCCCTGTGCAGAATGGGTGCTCTGGATCCTAACATCCTGTGATCTGTATCAGGATTGCCTTTCTAGATGCAGAGTTTTCTT